AGCGAAGTATTGTCCACCCAAAAGTCCATGGTGGATGGCGGAAAAAGGCCGATAAGGCCAAGCGTGCCGCGCGCGCATCGGCCTGCATGATAAGAAAAGGTCTCTTCCCCTATTTCCCTCCGGCGATTTTAACGTCGCCGGAGTCTGGAATAAAAACGGCTCCCATCCATGGAGCGACGCGTCCGCGACGCTGGCGGCCGATGCATTTTCAGTGGGCTTGATGATTCAACCACAATTATTCCCGATCATGTGTCGCAATCTCTCGCCCAAACCAACCGCTGACGGCGGAACGTTCTTCGGGGATGTCTCCAGCACAATCCCCCGGTTAAGTGCCGATAATCGTCGTCGCACTGCCTTGATAAAAAGGTAGTAGTCACATAAACGCGTGCCCAAAATGGCAGCCGCATACAAAAAGCGTGACGCCGTAACCTCCATTTCCGCGATGGTTAAAGAATTGAGCGCCGACATGGCGCATACAGACCGGACAAACTTGTCACTCAGGGATACCGCCTGGCGAGTATGATCAAACTGCACCCACAGAAAGGTGTAATGCGTAGCGCCCGATTCGCGTTCCTCCCCCATGGATGCGTGACAACTGTCCGCATTAAGAAGCACTTGGGCCTCCCACAATGTCGCATCGCTTTTCGACCCTGCAATGCGTATATTACCGATCCAAACGTCGTCGCGCACCAATGGAGGTGCAGCCCAGAGGCGGTGAACCACCGTCGTCACCCCCGCGATTGCCGAAGTAATAATCTGGAGAATTTCTGGGCTGGCCTTGTATCCCATTGGGAGCCGTGTAAGCTCCACCAGCGTGCCGTCCTCCACGCGGCACCGAAAGAGATGCCGAGTCTCCCGCGGTAAAGAGACTTGAAAAAAGGATGCCTTTACATCCAGGCAGGAAGCGGCCTCAGCCATCACAGGTGGCAAATAATGGGAAATGTGTAAAAGAGGAACATTCGCCTCATAAGGGTCGTGTCTGTTCCTGTCACACGGCCACGCGATCTATCTTCGTCGTAAACCGGTGGTTTTTTCCTCCGCAACCGAAAAAGGAATTGTTCATCCGCCTGTTATTGTGGACAAAGCGTCCTCGATTATTCCCGCCTTTCGTAACAAATGCGCGTCAGCGGTTGGAATCCTCCGTGAGCCTTCGCGCGCCTTACCGGAGGAAGACGGAGGGAAAGGGGACCGCCCGACGAGTCCCCAAACTTGCATGAGACTCTCCAAGGTGGCCGGGTTCAACCGACTCATGATCCAATTTGGTATTCAATACGGGCACGTTGACTTGCTGTAACGGGATAGCGTGTTCATCTTGTGGAGTGGCCAGACGCGTCCTTGTCGCGCGTCTTGTTATTGTAGCGGCATGATTGTGATTAAAATAGTGGAAAAATGCTCCTCTGCTCTCAACCAGGGTTACTGCCCTTCCGCGGTCTCTCCCTTCACATCAATGCGACCAGCGACGACGCCTGGGTCAGCATTGTGGTGTACCTCCTCAAATATCGAACAGTATTCTGGGGAAGGTCGAACGGATTGACGTGCCTCGCCAACTGCGAGATCACGTGTGGGTCAAAATTGTATGTCCCCACGATTGGAGCAGCGTGCCTCAACGCACCGCGTTTTATGGAATGCGCCGTGGCACCCCAAGGAGCCAGGGCTCGCCCCACGTGGGCAGCCGTAATATTCGTGAGCTTTTCGTTTTCTTGAAGTGTTCCGCATAGCTTTATAGTGTCGAACGCGTCCTGCCCTCGTATCTTCACGAACCGCGAGGCGCGGTGGGGATCCGCCCTCGCCGTCTTCGGCGCCACGGACCAATCCAAAATTAAGGTCCCGTCCGGTTCCATTGTGAAATTGTTGGGTGTTAAGGACGCAATCTCAAACAAACGACTTGCCGACATTCACGCAAGTCGAAAAAGAACGCATTCCTTCCAATCGGTCCGGCCGCGGACAAATTGCTCCAATCTTTTCCTTTGTCTCCGATCGCGCCGCAATTTTTTGTAACCCCAAAATCATCATGTCCAGCGGGGTTCGATTCATTTCCGACATGGACCGCAGCATCCTGGCGTACTGTAGTCGAGTCCATGGCGCCACATCTAATATTGCCATCAAAAGGCCGCGCAGCTCTTCTCGCTGGTCGGCCGTTCGCGCGGCGACGGGTTGCAAATTGCCCCGCTAGGGACATTCTCTGCTCCCACTTTGGCGGCACACACATTTATCGAGCCACCTCGTTCGCGCTCCTCATATTGGCCCAAAGCGGGGATGTCGGTGTTTCGTCGTAACACAGTCGAGCGTCGTTTACGGATAAGCTCCTTTGCCCTTCCCGACGATTGCGTCGGGCAATTTGAAAGATCGGGTGGAACATCGGCGGTGCGGTGCAACGTCCGTGTGTAATAGCCGGAGGTGGCGGATTGGATGGGGC